CTCATATTTGATCAAGGATCCAAAACGAATCCCTGGAGTAAGGACAGTCTATTCAATAAATGGTGCTGGGAAATTGGATTTCCACGTGCAGAAGCATGAAGCAAGACCCCTACCTTACACCTTACACAAAAATTCACTCAACATGGATTAAAGACTTAAATCTATGACCCGACACCATCAAATTATTAGAGAGCATTGGAAAAACCCTGCAAGATATAGGAACTGGCAAAGACTTCTTGGAAAATACCCCAGAAGCACAGGCAGTCAAAGCCAAAATTAACATTTGGGATTGCATCAAATTGAGAAGTTTCTGTACTGCAAAGGAAACAGTCAGGAGAGTGAAGAGACAACCGACAGAATGGGAAAAAATATTTGCAAACTATGCAACAGATAAAGGGTTAATAACCAGAATCCACAAAGAGATCAAGAAACTCCACAAAAACAAAACAAACAACCCACTTAAGAGATGGGCCAAGGACCTCAATAGATATTTTCCAAAAGATGACATCCAAATGGCCAACAGACACATGAAAAAATGTTCAAGATCACTAGCAATCAGGGAAATGCAAATCAAAACCACAATGAGGTTCCACCTCACCCCGGTGAGAATGGCTCACATACACAAAGCTACCAACAACAGATGCTGGCGAGGATGTGGGGAAAAAGGGACACTAACCCACTGTTGGTGGCAATGCAAACTGGTCAAGCCACTATGGAAGTCAGTCTGGAGATTCCTCAGAAACCTGAAGATAACCCTACCATTCGACCCAGCCATCCCACTCCTTGGAATTTACCCAAAGGAATTTAAATTGGCAAACAAAAAAGCGGTCTGCACCCTAATGTTTATTGCAGCACAATTCACAATAGCCAAGACCTGGAACCAACCTAAATGCCCACCAACGGTAGACTGGATAAAGAAATTATGGGATATGTACTCTTTAGAATACTATACCGCAGTAAGAAACAACGAAATCCAGTCATTTGCAACAAAATGGAGGAATCTGGAACACATCATGCTGAGTGAAATAAGCCACTCCCAAAGGGACAAAAACCATATGTTCTCCCTGATCGGTGACAACTGACTGAACACCAAAAAGGAAACCTGCTGAAGGGAAATGGACACTAGGAGAAACGGTGACTTGATCAGCATAGCCCTGACTGTTAATGAACAACTTAATACTTTATCCCTCTTAGTAGTTTTTTTTTGTCTGTTCTACTTAATATGACTGGCTTAATTCTGTAATTAATACACAGTTATTCTTAAGTGTTGAAAATTAACTAAATGTAATCCCTGTTAAACATAAGAGTGGGAATAAGAGAGGGAAGAGATGTATAATTTGGGACATGCTCAAGCTGACTTGCCCCAAATGGTAGAGTTGGAAACACACCAGGGGATGCCAGTTCAATCCCATCAAGGTGGCATGTACCAATGCCATCTCACTAGTCCAAGTGATCAATTTTAGTTCACAATTGATCATGATGAAAGGACTAAGAGTCAAAGGGAGCACATAAACAAGTCTAGTACCTGCTAATACTAACTGATAGAATAAATAAAGGGGAGAGTGATCCAACATGGGAAGCGAGATACTCAGCAGACTCATAGAATGGCGGATGTCCTAAACAGCACTCTGGCCTCAGAATCAGCCCTAAAGGCATTTGGATCTGGCTGAAAAGCCCATGAGAGTATTCCAGGCATGGAAAGCCAAGACACTCTGGCAAAAAAAAAGACCTAAATGAAAGATCTCTGTGAGTGACATCCCAGTGGAAAGAACAGGTCTTCAAAGAGGGAGGTACCTTTCTCTGAAGGGAGGACAGAACCTCCACTTTGACTATGACCTTGTCTAAACAAGATAAGAGTCAGAGATCTCAGAGGGCTTCCATAGCCTTGGAAACTCATGACTGGAGCATAGGGAGATTACTATAGACAGGAGTGCCAATTTGTAAAGTCAACAACAGGAGTCACTGTGCACTTACTCCTCATGTAGGATCTCTGTCCTTAATGTGCTATACATTGAGATTTAATGCTATAACGAGTACTCAAACAGGATATTTCACTTTGTGTTTCTATGGGTGTGCAAACTGTTGAAATCTTTACTTAATGTATACAAAACTGATCTTCTGTAAAAAAAAAAAAAAAAGAAAACAGAAAAAAGAAATTATCAATTCCCAACTAGACTGTCACTGGGATTAAACATGACAATAGGTCTGATCTGATTTCATCATCATTTAAAAAATCATCTATTATTTTTCACTTTATGTTTCTGTGTGGGAGCAAACTGTTGAAATCTTTACTTAATGTATACTAAGCTGATCTTCTGTATATTAAGAGAATCGAAAATGAATCTGGATGTGAATGGAAGGGGAGAGGGAGTGGGAAAGGGGAAGATTGCGGGTGGGAGGGACGGTATGGGGGGGAAGCCATTGTAATCCATAAGTCGTACTTTGGAAATTTATATTCATTAAGCAAAAAAAAAAACACACATGAGGTTTCACCTCACCCCTGTTAGAATGGCTCACATTCAGAAATGTTCCAAGAATAGATGCTGGAGAGGATATGGGGAAAAAAGGATATGGGGACACTAACCCACTGTTGGTGGGAATGCAAACTGGTCAAGCCACGATGGAATTCAGTCTGGAGATTCCTCAGAAACCTGAATATAACCCTGCCATACAACCCAGCCATCCCACTCCTTGGAATTTACCCAAAGGAAATTAAATTGGCAAACAAAAAAGCGGTCTGCACATTAATGTTTATTGCAGCTCAATTCACAATAGCTAAGACCTGGAACCAACCCAAATGCCCATCAACAGTAGACTGGATAAAGAAATTATGGGACATGTACTCTGTAGAATACTATACAGCAGTCAAAAACAATGAAACCGATCATTTGCAACAAGAAGGAGGAATTTGGAAAACATCATGCTGAGCGAATTAAGCCAGTCCCAAAGGGACAACTATCATATGTTCTCTCTGATCAGCGACAACTAACTGAGCACCAAAGGGGAAACTTGTTGAAGTGAAATGGACACTATGAGAAACAGTGACTGGATCAGCTCTTGTCCTGACTGTTGATGTACAATGTAATACTTTATCCATTTTAGTATTTTTTTTGTTCTAGTACCGTTGATTGAACTCTGTAATTAACACACAATTATTCTTAAGTGTTTAAATTTTAACAGAAAAGTGATCCCTGTTAGGAATTTGGAAAACATTATACTGAGTGAAATAAGCCAGTTCCAAAGGAACAAATATCATATGTTCTCCCTGATCGGTGACAGCTAACCGAGCACCAAAAAGGAAACCTGTTAAAGTGAAATGAACACTAGGAGAAACGGTGACTTGATCAGCCCTTGCCCTGACTGTTGATGAACAACTTAATACGTTATCCCTCTTAGTATTTTTTTTGTTTGTTCTACTTAATACTTTTGGTTGAATAGCATAATCAATACACAGTTATTCTTAAGTGTTGAAACTTAACTGAAAAGTGATTTCTGTTAAATATAAGAGTGGGAATAAGAGGGGGAAGAGATGTACAATTTGGGACATGCTCAAGCTGACTTGTCCCAAACGGTAGAGTTAGAAACATGCCAGGGGATTCCAATTCAATCCCATCAAGGTGGCATGTATCAATGCCATCTCACTAGTCCCAGTGATCAATTTCTGTTCACAATTGATCATGATGAAAGGACTAAGAGTCAAAGGGATCACATAAATAAGATTAGTGTCTGCAAATACTAGCTGATAGAATAAAAAAAGGGAGAAAACGATCCAACATGGGTAGCGAGACACAGCAGACCCATAGAATGGCAGATGTCCTAAACAGCACTCTGGCCTCAGAATCAACCCTTAAGGCATGTGGATCGGGCTGAAAAGCCCATGAGAGTATTTCAGGCATGGAAAGCCAAGACACTCTGGGGGAAAAAAATGACCTAAATGAAAGATCTCCTCGAGTGACATCCCAGTGGAAAGAGCAGGTCATCAAAGAAGGAGGTACCTTTCTCTGAAGGGAGGAGTGAACTTCCACTTTGACTACGACCTTGTCTAAATATGATCAGAGTCGGTGAACTCAAAAGGCTTCCATAGCCTTGGAAACTCATGACAAGAGCCCAGGGTGATTACTGATGCCATAAACAAGAGTGTCCATTTGTTAAGTCAACAACAGGAGTCACTGTGCACTTACTCCTTATGTAGGATCTCTGTCCTTAATGTGCTATACATTGTGATTTAATGCTATAACTAGTACGCAAACTCTATTTTTCACTTTGTGTTTTTATGTGGGTGCAAACTGTTGAAACCTTTTCTTAATATATGCTAAACTTATCTTGTGTATATAAAGAAAATTGAAAATGAATCTTGATGTGAATGGAAGGGGAGAGGGAGCGGGAAAGGGGAGGGTTGCGGGTGGGAGGGAAGTTATGGGGGGGGAGCCATTATAATCCATAAGCTGTACTTTGGAAATTTATATTCATTAAATAATAGTTAAAAAAATACAAGAAATCTAATCACTGACTTATTTGGCTGCTACTTTGTAATCTAATCCTTCTTATTTTTATCTATGGTGAAACCACCAAGAGTAATTTACCATCAGAAGCTTTATCTGGGGCTGGTGCTGTGGCGTAGCAGGTAAAGCCACTGCCTGCAGTGTCGGCATCCCATATGGATGCTGGTTTGAGTTCCATCTTCTCTACTTCCAATTCAGCTCTCTGCTATGGCTTGGGAAAGCAGTAGAAGATGACCTGATTCCTTGGGCCTCTGCACCCACGTAGGAGACCCAGAAGAAACTCCTGGCTCCTGGCTTTGGATCAGCCCAGCTCTGCTCATTGTGGCTATTTGGGAACTAAACCAGAAGATGAATAAGTTTCTCTCTCTCTCTCTCTCTCTCTCTCTCTCTTTCCGTCTCTTTCTCTCTCTCTCTTTCTCTCTGCCTCTGCCTCTGCCTCTCTGTAACTCTGCTTTTCAAATAAATAAATCTGAAAAAAAAAGGAAGAAGAAGCCTTACCTAGGTTTCTCTCTTCATGCCCTTTTTGTTTCATTCTTTCCATATAATCTAAAATTATCAGATGATTTTTTCTATGTATACAAAAGAGATAAGTAAAATTATTATTTGAATACTGATACAATGCCTTAGAATATTTCAGGTAGTATCAGAACTGGTATCAGAATTTTAGTTATCCCAATATGTTTCAAATTTAAAAACTCTACAAACTTTTTCTTAAGCTTGCAATTTCAAAGGGAAAAAAGTAAAATAGTCATACATTGATGATAGTATACCTTAATAAATTAATTAGAGTTAATATGACATAATGAAAACTGTCCTGAACTTAGAAGTCCCAGTCTGTAATCATTAGCTATTCCTTGGACTAGTCATTTAGATTGAGATTTTCTTTTAAAAAATAAGAAATTCTCTACCTTTTTCATTAGACACTTATGAAGATTTAATGAGGTAATATAAAAGAAATAGTGAAGAAACAAAATGCTTTGTCCTTCAACTTTATCATCAAAACTATTATAGAATTCTAAATAAAATCTGGTGTGTACTTTTTCTTTAGTTCTAATAGTCAAATGTTGCAGTTTTCAGAAAATATTCTTATTTCTAATTCTGGTTATTAAGTATTCCATGTGTTTTGCAATTCGAGGTACCTCAGGTACTTAATAATTTGTAACTACATGTATTTATAAACATATCATCTTATGAGATAGCATAATTGACCTAATCATTCACACTGGCAGAAAACTGAGAGATGTCAGAAACTGACAGACTACTACTGTCCCTTCTAACTCTGAATAAATTGATCATTGTTAGAATGATACTTATTCTGCCTACTCAAACTCCAACTGACTTGGAAGACCAAACCTGACTTTAATATATGGACACTGATGAGCTATGAATGAGGCTTAACGCTCTTAAATCCAAGTAGCCTATTTTATTTTTCAAATATCTATACTTGAAAGGCAGAGTTACAGAGAAAGAGGGAAAGATGGGGGTGGGGGGGAATGAATGAGAATCTCCCTTTGGCTGGTTCACTCCCCAAATGACCACAACAGCCAGGGCTGGATCAAACCGAAGCCATCAGCCAAGAAGCCCATCCTGGCCTCCCACATGCATGGCAGGGGCCCAAGCACTTGAGCCATCTTCTGCTGATTTCCTAAACACATTAGCAGGGAGCTAGATCAGAAGTGTAGCAGGGGCCGGCGCCGTGGCTCACTTGGTTACTCCTCCGCCTTCGGTGCTGGCTTCCCATATAGGCGTCAGGTTCTAGTCCTGGTTGATCCTCTTCCAGTCCAGCTCTCTACTGTGGCAGTGGAGAATGGCCCAAGTGCTTGGGCCCCTGCACCGCTTGGGAGACCAGGAAGAAGCATCTGGCTCCTGGCTTCTGATTGGTGCAGTGCCGGCTGTAGAGACCATTAGGGGAGTGAACCAACAGAAGGAAGAATTTTCTCTCTGTCTCTGTCTTCTCACTATCTATAACTCTACCTGGCAAATAAATTTAAAAAATAAAAAGAAGTGTAGCAGCCAGGATATGAATCAATGCTCATATGGGATGCTGGCATCACAAGCAGCAGCTTAACTTACTGCACCACAATGCCACCCTCCCCTCAAATAACCCACTTTAGATTGAAAGAAGTCTAGTACCTGCTAACACTAACCGATAGAATAAATAAAGGGGAGAGTGATCCAGCATGGGAAGCGAGATACTCAGCAGACTCATAGAATGGCAGATGTCCTAAATAGCACTCTGGCCTCAGAATCAGCCCTAAAGGCATTCCGATCTGGCTGAAAAGCCCATGAGAGTATTTCAGGCATGGAAAGCCAAGACACTCTGGCAAAAGATCTCTGTGAGTGAGATCCCAGTGGAAAGAACAGGTCTTCAAAGAAGGAGGTACCTTTCTCTGAAGGGAGGAGAGAACCTCCACTTTGACTATGACCTTGTCTAAACAAGATAAGAGTCGGAGAACTCAGAGGGCTTCCATAGCCTTGGAAACTCATGACTGGAGCATAGGGAGACTACTGATGCCATAGACAGGAGTGTCAATTGGTAAAGTCAACAACAGGAGTCACTGTGCACTTACTCCTCATGTAGGATCTCTGTCCTTAATGTGCTGTGCATTGAGATTTAATGCTATAACGAGTACTCAAACAGTATATTTCACTTTGTGTTTCTATGGGGGTGAAACTGTTGAAATCTTTACTTAATGTATACTAAACTGATCCTCTGTAAAAAAAAAAAAAAAAAAAGAAAGAAAGAAAAAGAAAAAGAAATTATCAACTCCCAACTTGACTCTCACTGGGATTAAACATGACAATAGGTCTGATCTGATTTCATCATCATTTAAAAAAAATCATCTATTATTTTTCACTTTATGTTTCTGTGTGGGAGCAAACTGTTGAAATCCTTACTTAATGTATACTAAGCTGATCTTCTGTATATTAAGAGAATCGAAAATGAATCTTGATGTGAATGGAAGGGGAGAGGGAGTGGGAAAGGGGAGGGTTGTGGGTGGGAGGGACGGTATGTGGGGGAAGCCATTGTAATCCATAAATCGTACTTTGGAAATTTATATTCATTAAATAAAAGTTAAAAAAAAAGATTGAAAGAATTCTGAAGAAGGGCTTCCTTATGATACAGAATTTGAAACTATTGTGAAAATTTAAGGTAAAGACCAAGTACTCATAATATGGAGGATTTTCATTAATGTGACGGGGCAACATAAGTTGATGCCCACTCTGGGAAATAATGACCAAGGACACTGCACAATCCAATAAAAGATGCACACAGAATATAAATGGGCTTTAACTTATATATTTGGTAGCAAAGCGTAAAAAAAACCCTGATCTTTTCCTACAAAATTTTTGGAACCTCTGACAGAATGGAATGATCCTAATTAATATTTTCTAACAGAGAAGACAAATAAGAGCCTCAAAAATAACTCACCACAAAGGTTTAGGCTAAGATGTGGACTCCACATAAGGTTTTCTTGGATGAGTCCAGTTTCTCACTATTTGCATGGCTAAATCTAGGAGGCCAAAATGCTTAGTAGGGTGCTACTGCCTTATATACAATGGCTGAGTATATATGCATTTGTAAGTCAACTAGTAAATGTTTTAACCTTGGAGTATAGGTTTAGTTTACCATGAGGACTGGGGGATCTGGATCAGTAAAAGAATTCTGGTAGCAAAAGTCAATCATTGCTGGACTTTAGGGGCAATTTCAATAGCAAAACTAAAGAAACCGCAAAAAAGCACAGAATTACTAAAATGTCCTTCCTGTCTGATTAGTGAAAGAAGATTCCCTTTGTTGAACTTATGAAACCCTCTTGGTTCTTGGAAAATTCAAAGATTTAGAAGATAGCTCTCAGGGGAAAGTACAAGATTTTCTGATTAAACTGGACATTTCAAATTCTAACTAATGAGAAAAATCAAAAAGGTGACACTATTTGAATTCCAAGCTTAAGGGTTACTCTTGGAATGGTATGGGCATTGTTTGGATCTTAAGAATAAAAATCTTCAAATTCTGAGATAAACAATCTGGTATCCACTACTACTTCTAATTAGTCAATGAGCTTTTGCTTGGTTTCTGATTGATGAAGCATATTCACTCACTGTCATTTCAAAAACTACAAAATCTTACCTCATCTAAAACACGCAATTGTTATAATTATTTTAAACATCAATTTAATGTTGACTGGCATTTTTCTGTAAACACTTACGTATTAAATTTAAGACGAGCATACTTTTCTGCTGTAAACCCACAGCTATCTTCACAAAATGCATCAACCCCTTGTTGAAGAAGAAGGCTGAGTATCTTGGATGATCTGTACTGAGCAGCAAACATGAGTGATGTTCTAAAACAACAGATAAATTTACCATTGGAAACTTTAATGGAGTGACTTAAACAGCTGACTTAACATATTTTCACCACAGTAATCACTTCCCGGACTATGTACAATTGACCATTTAAATGTATTAACAGACATAAGCATTTGGGATCTCAAGTTCTCTAAGCTAACTCCAGGGCTAAAGAAAAAGGACCCAAAGGAAGCCTTTTGTACAACTGAGGTATTCCATGGAAGTTATTAATTTAAAGTCCCTTAATGAACAACTGTTGAGATCCTTTATTGAATTGGGCAAAGATTTGAATGCAAAATTTTCCATTTTTCCCTAGTTTGATATATCAGTCAACTAGAAGTCAGGTAAGTAAAAGCTATTTGCAGAAACCAGCACTGTGGCATAGCAGGTAAAGCCGCAGCCTGCAGTGCCGGCATCCCATATCAACACCGGTTCGATTCCTGAATGCTCCACATCTGATCCAGCTCTCTGCTATGGCCTGGGAAAACAGTGGAAGATGGCCCAAGTCCTTGGGCCCTGACACCTACATGGAAGATCCAGAGGAAGCTCCTGGTTCCTGGCTTCAGACTGGCACATCTCTGCTGTTGCAGCCATTTGGGGAGTGAACCAACAGATAGAAGACCAATCTCTCTCTTTCTCTCTCTCTCTCTCTCTCTCTCTCTCTCTCTCTCTGCCTCTGCCTCTCTGTAAATCTACCTTTCAAATAAATATATAAATTTTTTAAAAAGCTATTTACAGACTTAAACCTAGAGTATTATAATGTCATAATAGTCATAGTAGGTTCAGCTAACTAACAATGCTGATAAACATGTGCCAGGTAATACATTAAATTTTATATAAATAGGAGACACTGCTGTGGCATAGGAGGTAAAGCTTCCACCTGTGGTGCTGGCATCCCATATTGGTGTCAGTTCAAGTCCTGACTACTCCTCTTCTGATTCAGCTCTCTGCTATGGCCTGAGAAAGCAGTGGAGGATGATCCAAGTGCTTTGGTCCCTGCACCCACATGGGAGACCCAGAGGAGGCTCCTGGCTCCTGGCTTCAGACCGGCCCAGCTCTGCCCATTGTAGCCATCTGGGGAGTGAATGAGCAGATGGAAAACTTTTCTCTCTGTCTATAACTCTACCTCTCAGATAAATAAATCTTTTTAAAAATTATATAAATATATAAGATATTTATATACATATAATCTTATATATGTTCACCCTTCAAGGATATCTTACTATCCCCTTTTCATATCACTTAAAATTTGGTAATGTTCTCAAGGTCACACACTTAATAGGTGTGTGACATCTAGGAATTAAATCTAGTCTTTGTGTCTTTTTTTATCACCTATTACTTAGCTTCATTAAAGGAAATCTTAGTAATACATTAAATTTTATATAAGTAGAAGCCAGTGCTGTGGCATAGTGGGTAAAGCTGCTGCCTGCAGTGCCATCATCCCATATGGGTGCCAGTTCAAGTTCCACTGCTCCTCTTACAATCCAGCTTTCTGCTATGGCATGGGAAAGCAGTGGAAGATGGCCCAACTACTTGGGACCCTGCACCCACCTGGGATACCTGGAAGAAGATGCTGGTTACTGGCTTCAGATAGACCCAGCTCTGGCTGTTGCAGCCATTTGGGGAGTGAATGAGCAGATGGAAAACCGCTCTCGCTCGCTTGCTCTCTCTCTCTCTCTCTCTCTACCTCTCCTCTCTCTCTCTATAACTCTTTCAAATAAATAAATATTTAAAAATTAAATAAATAAATAAAGGAAAAGCTTATCTAAACAAAGTTATCTTTCTTCCCTCTGTCCAAACTAATTAAAAATAATATCAATGGCAGGCATTTAACCTAGCCATTAAGACACTGGTTAAATGCTTTTTTTTTTCCCATATCAGACTATCCAGGTTTCATTCCCAGATCCAGTTTCTGACTACAGTCTCCTACTAATGCATACCCTAGAGGGCAGTAGTGATGGTTAAGTAATTGGACTCTAGTAACCCACATGGGAGACTTGATTGTGTCCTCAGCTCTAAGCTTCCAGTTGGCCCAGCCTGGGCTGTTGCAGGCATTTGGGCAAAGAAACAGTGAAAGGGAGCATGCTCATTCTTTTATCTATCTGTCTCTCTCTGCCCCCACATCTCCTTCCCTTCTTCCCTCTCTCCCTCTGTCTCTCTTCCTAATAAAAATTTTAAAAAATACAACTTTAAAAATTAAATAAAGGGAACCAGCATTGTGGCATAGCAGGTAAAAGCCACCACCTGCAATGCCTGCACCCCATATGGGCGTCAATTTCATGTCCTAGCTGCTCCACTTTCAATCCAGCTCCATGCTAACAGCCTGGGAAAAGCAGCGGAAAATGGACCAATGCTTGGGCTCCTGAAACCATGTGGAGGCCCAGAAGAAGCTCCTGGCTCCTGCCTTCAGCCTGGCCCAGCATTGGCTGTTGCAATCATCTGGGGAGTGAACCAATGGAAAGAAGAGCTCTCTCTGAGTGTCTCTCCTTCTCTCTGTGCAACTCTGACTTTGAAAAAAAATTCTTTTAAATAAATAAAAATATCAGAATACAGCTGACATCAAGAAGAAAAAAACTGATGAAACTACAGTATCTAGTACTAACAAGCTATAGTCACTCAGGGATATCCTAACATGAATATTCTTCAAAGAAAGCAATTTAAAACAAAAAGTCACCCTACAGACAAAATGACTTTCATTTCCTATCCTAGCATTTTTATTTTTTAAGATTTATTTATTTTTATTGGAAAGTCAGAGTTACACAGAGAGAGGAGAGAGAGAGAGGTCTTCCATCTGCTGGTTCACTCCCCAATTGGCCGCAACAGCCATAGCTGCGCCGATCCAAAGCCAGGAGCCAGGAGCTTCCTCCTGCATGTGGCTGCAGGGGTCCAAAGACTTGGGCCATCTTCCACTGCTCTCCCAGGCCATAGCAGAGAGCTGGATTGGAAGTGGAGCAGCCAAGTCTCAAACCAGCGCCCATATGGGATGCCTATACTTCAGGCCAGGGCATTAACCCACTGCGCCACAGTGCTGGCCCCCTATCCTAGCATTTTTAAATGAAAGGCATATAAGAAGAAAAATTTTAAATACTACATAAGAATTCAAAAGCTCAATACGAAGTCATAAACTAAAAGTACATACTTTATCAAACCAGTAAAATTGAAATGAATCCTCTTTAGCTAATATAAGCTCATATAACCAAAACAAGTCAGATTATGGGAAAAAAGTACCAATCACTATTACAAGGGACTATGACTACTACTATATGTTGTTCATTGTATTGCCCAGACCAAATAATTGCCTTTCTTCTCCCTAACACGATTTGTGTGACTATTTTTCATAATATCTCAATAAAAATGTTAATCTTTTTTATTAACTTTATATTTTGGGGGTTTGAATGACTCCTACCAATAGACTATCAGTAAGCTTTAAAAAGAAAGAAAATTGAAATACTGTACCTATTCATATTATCAACTACATGAACATTTGCTTTATTCATTATTAGAAATTCCACCATTTTCTCTTTCTCTTCATGCATTGCAACTAGAAGTGGTGTGAGGCCATCCTGTAAAGCAATTTATAATTCACAACATTACATATTTCTTAACTGAACTGATAACATTTGAAATGACCCAAAAGCCTTAGACATACAACATGGAAAGTAAAGAAAAGAGACTCTTCCCTTTTACCCTTGTTCTTTCACATATGCTCTGCCTTCCTTTCAAAGCTCTCAATTGCTCCACACTCACTTCATCTCCACACTCACTTCAAACATTTACTGCTTACAAGATTTTTTGCTTCTATCAAAGCATTCATCCATCATGATGTTATAATTATATGATTGTTTCCCATCTAAACCAAGACACGAGGAAAAGGGCTATATCTTCTGTGTCTTATATAGAAATAAAGGCTTTAAGTAGTTTTATTGAACTGATGAGCTAAATTATTATCTGTAGAGCAATGTTTCTCAATATATACTCCCAAGAGCATTTATTTTTGCATAAAGTATGCACTGCACTCCAATACAAAGCTTCCATAGTCATCTATGTTTGGGGAATATTATAAAACTATGTATCATGTGTCCCCTAGGTGGGACCAGGAGCAAATTGGACACATCCCAGGACAGCCTTTGCACAGCATACCATTCAGTAACATGAGCTCAAGGGATTCCCAATCTGATAAAGAGCACCTTGAAATTCAAATTTCTTCCTAAGCCTCCTATATTTTACGTAGACACAATTTATTAGGCAAACTACTCACATTTCTACTTTTACATCAGCTGAGGATGTGTTTCCAAATGACATGTATAATCTATTTCCCCTTAAAATTCAAGCCCAACTTGTAATAAAAGGGACTGATAATACCTAGTACACAGTTTTCCAACAATTAAATAACAATCATTCATATTTAAATCTGCCATATCATTAATCAAATAGGTATTTGGTTTGTAGGACTTTGGAGACTAAACTGTTAACTAAATTCCCATGTATATTCTTTCCAACATCATGGTTTTCAGTTTTACATCTGCCATACTGATTATGTGTCAGGGTTCAACAAACTAAACAGACACACCAAGATTATATTATCATACAGTTTCAAACAGAAAAAAGTGTTCACAATTTGCAACTATTCTAACCATGAAAACCTTGCTTAGACCTAATACCCTGAATAACAGAGACAAGAAATCATTAAAGTGTCAACATCTTCTCATTCAAAGACTATCCATAAGCAAATTTCTGAAGACCCTCCCAATGGCAGAGAATGACATTTAACAGGTAAAGAACAGTTTTCTATAAGCTGAGAGTTATCAGCAATATCATCCCTCCAAACTTCCCAACTACAGATCAAATGAAACAATGATGAAAAATTAATATTGTTGGAAAGTAAAGTGTTGAAGGAAGTAACATCTACCAAACTATCAAAGATTTATTAAGTTTTTGAGACTTTATATATCACATTTAACTATTCAGTGGTCCTCAACCAAGAGTTTATCAGAATCACAAGAAATTTTTTTTTTGTTAGTTAATTTTTTTAACCTTTATTTAATAAATATAAATTTTGAAAGTACAACTTTTGGATTCTAGTGGCTTTCCCCCTCCATGTCCAGGCCATAAAAGATTTATTGAATCAAAAGGTTCATGGCAGGGGCAGCTTTGTGGTGCCAGAGGGTTAAGCCACCACTTGCAACATTAGCACCACATATTGGAGCACCCATTCAAGTCCTAGATGCCTGGCTCCTCTCCACCTCTCTGCTATTATATTTGAGAAAACAGCAAAAAATGGCCCAAGTATCTGTGCTCCTGCCACTCACATGAGAGAACCGGTTGAAGTTCTAGGCTCTTGGCATTAGACTAGTCTCAACCATTGCAACCATTTGGGGAATAAACAAGCATATTCTTATTCATTCTCTCTCTCTCCCCCCCCATCCTATCCTCCCTCCCTCCTCTTTCTCCTGCCTCCTTCCCTTACTCCCTTGCTCCAACCATGTCACTCTGCAAGTTTCTTAAAAATGTTATGGGGGGGGAGGAGGAGGGTGAGGCGGGGAGTGGTGCTGTGGCATAGTGGGCAAAGCACTGCCACCTAAAGTGCTGGCATCCATATGGCTGTCAGTTCGAGTCCCGGCTGCTACATTTCCGATCCAGCTCTCTGCTATGGCCTGGGAAGGCAGTAGAAGATGGCCCAAGTCCTTGGGCCCCTGCACCTGCGTGGGAGACCAGGAAGAGGCTTCTGGCTCCTGGCCTCAGATCAGCCCAGCTCCAGCCATTGTTGCAGCCATTTGGGGAGTGAACCAGTGGATGGAAGAGCTCTCTCACTCTCTCTCTCTCTCTCTCTCTCTGCCTCTGCCTCTGCCTCTCTGTAACTCTCACTTTCAAATAAATAAATCTTTTAAAAAAAATGTTAGTGGGTTAACCTACACATGTAACCTATATGTGTAAATCTTTGTTAAATAATTCCAAGTCATTGTGATATACAATTTCAGCTAACAACTAGTGCAGTAGGCTGAGTCCTCTTACCAACATGGCCAGTTTCATTCATCATTTGAGAACTTAAACAAAAAAGGAATAAAAAGAGACAGACCCATTTGCTGAAAACTAATTTTTCTGGGTAGGAGTACAACAAGGACTAGGAAACTCAAAATCCAACCTGACTTTATTTATAAGATACCTTTCTCCCACCTTCCCATCAAGACATTCTAGATCTGAAAGATGAGTTATGACTCTTCTCTAAGCAACTCTTTCTAACAAAACAGAATAATATGTCAGTTAATTATTTTTTCTTCCCTCTTGTTTGCCACTTAATCACCACTTATTCACAATCTGGTTTCCCAAGAATCTTCTTAAAATGGATCTCAAGGCAAGTCTGCAATTCACTAACTCTTATTTACCAAAATAGGAATTATTACACTCAAAATTGAAAACCATTTTGTCTACACAAAAAAAACTGGAAAAAATAAACAAAACCAAACAAAAAATGCCATCTTAGTATTTTCCCTCATTTACCTAACTTCTCAATTGTTGATTGCCTTCTCCTTTTCCCTTTCCAAGTTTCCCTCAAGCCTTGCCACAAAGATACATGTAGAAAATCAATAACATCAATATATTTATTTACTGTAGTATGCTCTTGCCTAGTGTTTTAAATTAAAGCCTGTTTCTAAGACAAAACCTACTTTCCTGTATTTTACTGTCACTAGAAAAAATGTGAGTGGGGAAATATATTTGAAGAAATAGTCTTACCTTTGGCAAATTCAGTGTTCTTCAAGATATTGGTCATAAATACATGGAAATCTATAACCTGTAATGCTTCTGTAAAGTGGCTAATATTTAAATGAAATCTTAGATGATTATTTTAAAATATGTTCATACAATGAATGCTTGAACCTACAAATATGGAGAACTGACTCTAAGTATTTTAATGTTAAAAAATGTATTCCAGGGGGCGGGGCAAGATGGTGGAATAGTGGGGGCGCGCACCGATAGTCCAGGAAAATTTAGTTTAATAAAAGTGGAGTTACGGTAGCCTCAGAAAAAGGATCAGGAAAAAATTGCAGAGGAAACTCTTCCGGATCTAGTGGCTGTGACTCAGAGGACCTACTGGGAGAGCAGGGTCGCCCAACGCGCGGAAGCCGAACCGCGGGAGCCACACAGTCTGCGCACCAGTGCGGGAAGGGGAGTGGATGTGACACAGACACCAGCGGGGAGAGGAGGGACGCCCAAGGCCCCGAGTCCACACATCGGCACTGGAAGGCGAGGTGAGCTCAGTAACCGGAGACATTGGCGGGGAAACGGCGGACAGAATTTTAGAGGGAAGCGGGCTTTGAAGCGGGAAAGTTCACCAGACTGACTATAGGAGAGAAGGAAAAAAAAAAAAGCTGGGAGCATACTGATACAGACAAGTTCCTCTCTCCACCAACCTTGCAAAGGCGAGCAAGAGACAAAGAGTAAGCCCCACTTGGGATATACATAATAAAAGGGGAGAGTTAAGGCTACAATTCAGTAGCCTAGGCAACCCAGTGGGAGTCCAGAAGAGAAACAGAGCCTGCACAGACTCTTTGGGTAGAAGCCAGAGATCGGAAGCTAAATACCATCAATGCTGCTCAGCCTTCCAGTATTACTTACCTCCAGAATAAAAAATAAAATAAAATAAAATAAAATAAAATAAATGAATAAATAAAAAATAGAGATTTACCACGCATAACCTGAGGGTGTCACATTTGCACACCCGTAACCCGGAAGAACCAAGCAGAGCTCTCAGGCCACACGCATCTCAAGCCTCCAAGGCTCCTCCAACAGCAGGCAGTCCACTTAACACAGACATAGTATAAAAAAAAAAACTCATAGTGAGGGAAAAAGAATTAACCATGCCAAGCAATAAACACAGAAATCGAGGGAACAATATCTACGATGACACTATGATGCCTCCAAATAAACAAAACACCCCAAGCCAAGATTATGAAGATGATGAGATAGAAGCAATGCAAGATACGGATTTCAAAAAATTTATGATAAGATCATTTAGAAGTTTTCAAAAGCAAATCCTTGAACTACAGAAATCCTTATTGGACAGGATTGAAAATCTCTCTCGTGAAAATGACATTTTAAGGAAGAATCAAAATGAAACGCAGAAACTAGTAGAACAGGAAAGTCTGATAGTGAAGAGAAATCAAAATGAAATGAAGAGCTCAATAGATCAAATGACAAACACATTAGAGAGCCTTAAAAACAGAATGGGTGAAACAGAAGAGAGAATATCAGACTTAGAAGACAGAGAACAGGAAAGGATACAGTCAAACCAAAGATAAGAAGAGGAAATTAGAAATCTAAAAAATATTGTTGGGAATCTACAGGATACTATTAAAAAACAAACATTCCGGTTCTAGGAGTTCCTGAAGGCATGGAGAGAGAGAAAGGATTAGAAGGCCTTTCTAATGAGATACTAGCAGAGAACTTTCCAGGTTTGGAGAAGGACAGAGACATCCTAGTACAGGAAGCTCATAGAACCCACAGTAAACATGACCAAAAGAGATCCTCACCACAATACGTTGTAATTAAACTCACCACGGTGAAA